CAAGTACATATATTGCTGATGAGATTACAAATTGGTACAGATATTTGGTTTCAACTGAAGCCAAATATGTGCATACCCGGTGACCCAGCAGTTATACTTTTGAGTATATAAATGCATACATATGTGCACCAAAGGACGTTTATAAGAATTTTCATAGCAGCACTGTTTATGGTAAGCAAAGACTGGAAACAACCCAAATGTCCATTAACAGTCAAATAGAATTTGGCAAATTAGATATTGGAATACTATCCAACAATGACAAGGGAACACTTACTTCTATATCAACGAAATTTATCAATTTTACGTAATATTAGACAAAATAATCAGATACAGAAGAATGCCTAATATATAATTCCCTTTATAGGAGGTTCAAAAAATAGACCTAACCTGTGGTGATAGAGGTCTGTATGGTGGTTATCTTTCTTCTTTTTTTTTTTAAATTTTAATTAATTTATTTATTTATTTTTCCCCCCAAAGCCCCAGTAGATAGTTGTATGTCAAAGCTGCACATCCTTCTAGTTGCTATATGTGGGACGCGGCCTCAGCATGGCCGGAGAAGCGGTGTGTCGGTGCGTGCCCAGGATCTGAACCCGGGCTGCCAGCAGTGGAGCGCGAGCACTTAACCGCTAAGCCACGGGGCCGGCCCGGTGGTTGCCTTTCTTGGTGAGGGTTGAAAGGGGGTTCTACAGCCTTCTGGGGTGTTTGTAATGTTCTATTTTATAATATAGGTGGTGGTTACTTTGTGAAAATTCATTGAGCTTTACACTTATGATTTATATGCTTTTCTGTATTTTTGTTACACTTTACTTAAAAGTGTGGTTTAAAAATTAGTGAGCCATACATTTGCATTTTCTTTCCTTAACATTGACTTCTTTTAAAACCCTAAGAAAGACATCTTGAATTTACATTTTTTTTTTAGAACATAAATATTTTGCTAACTCAAAACAGTATTCCGTGAATGAGTTCATATTCATTCTGAAATAGATAAAGCATTTTATTGATAAGAACTTCGAAAGTATTCAGTAAGAAATAGTTTATTATGCATCTGCTAGGTTCAAAGAAAAATAAGGAAGGCATGATATTGTCCTCCTCATCCTCTACCCTGGTCACTGATTTTCCTATTAATGTGCATATTAGATACCTATCATTCCTTTTCTTCACCTGTGTTTTCCATAAGCGTGTTTTTATAGTTTGAGCATATGATATGGCTTAGAGGACTGTCTTCTCTAGAGTCTTCTCTATTAAACTTTAAGGTAAAGAGCACCTTTCTTGTCATTCTGAGTTTTCTTAAAATTTTGCATAATGAAACATAGTTCAGAAAATGCTGATGTCAGTATCCAGGCCTTGTTCTTTAAAAATGAATAAGACTCTTGAATATATTCAACAGGTATTTATTATATGGCTGTTACATGTTAGAACTAGAGATTCAGTGGTGAGCAAAACAGACATTGCTCTATTGCAAGGAGCCCTATGGCAAGGAGCTTCAAGTTTAGCAAGAAAAACAAATGATTAAACAAGAAATAACAGAAATGTCTGAATGGGTCTGTAACCACGAAAGTATACAGTAGTTTAGCAGGGGCACCTAACCTATTGGGAATTTAGGGAAGGCTTCCCAGAGCAAGTGGCTGAGATGAAGGATGTTGAGTAGAAGTTGGCCAAGTCCATAGAAGGAGAAAGAGACTTCCAGTCAGAGGGAACAGCGTTAGATAACTCTTGGGGGTAACAGTGAAACATGACATTTTAAAAACAAAGATGCTCGGTATGGCTAGAGTACCAAAGGACAGTGGCCAGAGATAAAGCCAGAAAGGTAAGCAGGGTCTGCATCATGAGGGGCCTTGTAAATTTTGTTAAGTAGGTTGAATTTTTTCCTAGGAGGAAAAGTAAGCTATTGAAGAGTCTAAGCAATGGCAAAAAATGAAAACATCAAATTGGCATTTAGACAAAAGAGTCTGTATATGTTGCAAATAAGTTAGCAGGTGGCAAGAGGAGAGTCAAACAGACCAGATAGGAGGTTGCAGTAATCCAGGCAAGAGTAGTTAGTGGCCTAACTACAGTAATAGCAATGGGATAAACAGATATGAGAGATTATTTATGAGAGAGAATTGACAAGAATTGTAAGTTGATCAGCTGTCAGGAAGAGTGAAAAATCAAGAATGGCCATCAGAGAAATACAAATCAAAACCACAATGAGATACCACTTCATATCTTAGGTATGAAGGATGGCTATAATCAAAAAGATAGACAATAGTAAGTGTTGAGTAGGATGTAGATAAATTGGAACCGTCATACATTGCTGGTGGGAATGTAAAGTGGTGCAGCTGCTTTGGAAAACAGTTTCTCAAAAGGTTAAACGTGGAGTTACTATATGACCCAGCAGTTCCACTCCTGCATATATATACCCAAAGAGAAGTGAAAACATAAGTCCACACAAGACTTGCACACAAATGTTCATGGTGGTATTATTCATAATAGCCCAAAAGTGAAAACAAATGAAATGTCCATCATCTGATGAATGGATAAACAAAATGTGGTATAGCCATAAAATGGAATATTATTCAGCAATAAAAAGAAATGTAGTACTGATGCATGCTTACAACATGGATGAACCTTGAGAATGTTATGCTAAATGAAATGAAGAAAAAGAAAAAACATTATACTAAATGAAAGACCACGTTGTAGAATTCTAAGTGAAATATCAAGAATAGGCAAATCTATAGAGACAAGGTAGATTAGTGGTTTCCTAGGGTGGAGGGGAGGGAGAAATGGGGATTGACTGCAAATGGGTATGGGGTTTCTTTTTGGGGTAATAAAAATGTTCTAAAATTGATTTTGGCGATGATCATGTAACTCTGAATATACTAAAAAACATTGAAGTGCACACTTTAAATGGGTGAATTGTATGATAAGTCAGTTATAGCTCAATAAAACCATTATTTAAAAAAAAAATCAAGAGTGACTCCCAGGTTATCTAGCTTGGGCAATTGGGTGTATTATATTGTTAATTACTAAGATAGAGAAAGGATAGGGGGGTGTTGAGTTCAATTTTGGATTTGTTATGTTTGAAGGATTTGTAAGAAATCCAAATGGAAATAATCCAGGAGTTGAGCTATACGTATCTGGAGTTCAGGAGTGTGGTCTACACTGAAAATACAGATTTATGAGTCACTAGCATATAGGTGGCAGTTGAAGAGAAGAGTACATAGAACAAAACCCTGAAGAAGACCAAGATTAATAGGACAGAAAAAGGAAAATAAAGCCTACAAAAGACAATGAAGAGGAGTAGCCAGAGAGAATAAGAGGAAAATCAGGAGTATGTGATATAATGGAAGCCAGTGGAAGAGATTGTTTTAAGGAAGATGGAGTAATCAGCTGTGCTGAATGTTAACTGACAGGTTAGGTAAGATAAAGACTACATTTGGTGACAGGAAGTTATCAGTGATATTGGAACACTATGGTGAATGGGAGTAGTGGGCATAAACCTCAGACTGCTGTGAGTGGAAATACATGGGAGATAAGAAATTAGAGACAGCCAAAATTTGGATTTAAAGAGGAAGAAAGAAGATTAATTAGGAGGAATACAGAATGAAAAGGTTTTTGTTTTTTTGTCTTAGGGAGGGGATTGCTGTTAAGATGAAAGAGACTTGAACATTTTTTAGTGCTGATGGGAATGAGCCAGTAGGGAGGGAGAGATTATAGCTGCCCTGGAGAGAGAGGTGTTAATGTATAGGGTGAAATATCTGACAGTGCTACAGGGAATCTGAACACAGCAAGGGGGATTAACTGTAAATATGAGGAAGGATCATTTTTCCATGATAACAAGAGTGAAGAAGGAAAAAGGATAAGTGGAAGCAAATGTGTTTGTAGGTTTGTCAATAAGGCATTGAGGGAATTCTCATTGAATGCCTCCTATTTTCTCTTTGGAATAAAAGATAAGATCACCTGTTGTGACCAAGTGGTGTTGTTTGTGGAGAGTGGAGAAGGTATGAAATAGCTGCAAATACTGCAGAGAATACTGATGAAATATAATAGGACTGGCGGTCAATACTGAAAGCCCAGTTGAAGTGAATGATCTTTTATAGTGATATCAGTTTGCCTTATTATAAGATTTTTTTCACCTGGGTAGAGTGGTGGTCAGCTTACTGCGGCCCATAGGCCAAGTCTGGGCTCATGGCCTCTTTTTGTAAGTAAAGTGTTATTGGAACACAGACATGCTTGCTCATTTGTTGTCTATGGCTGCTTTGATGCTACAGTGGCAGAAATGAGTAGTTGGTTCTCAAAGCCTAAAATATTTACAACATGACCCTTTACAGAAAAAGTTTGCTGACCTCTGGTATAGATCAACCTGGATATAGATGAAGAGAAGGCAGACGTTTGGGAACATCCAAGGTTGAGGTCTTGACAGAGTGCAAGGATTAACAACAAAGGAGTTGAAGCTACTGGCAGTTGAAGTCTTGGACCTTGGAATCCAAACTGAAGAAGGAAAAGAAGTGAAGATGAGGAACTGATAGGAGTTCAGAGCTTTATTTGGATGTCTTGGAGGTAGTTGGGGAGAAAAGCTGAAAATGATAGAAGATTGTGGTCATATGTAACTGTAATGTACGATTTCAAAGGAGAAGCAGTTGTAGGTGATCAGAGTGGCTGGGTATGGTAGCTGAGGTTGTATGGACCTGAGAGGCAGAGGACTGGCTAGATCATCTATGTAGATGCTGAAATCTCCCAGAATGGAGTGGAGAGGAAGATGGTGAGCCAAGTGGTTATCTTTTCTTAATCTCTGGGATTTATTAGAGAAAAACTTTTTCTCACAAAAAGGAGAAGAGTCTTATCAATAACATAGGATTTAAAATTATCAGGTTTTTGAGAGTATTACATTCCTATGTTTAAGTCAAATAAATTGCTAACAGTCTAAAAATTGTGAACAATGTGAAAATAAGTAAATAGAAAATTTGTTGCTTTTGTGATTATAATTAGAACTTACACTTTTAAAATGTCTTAATTATCAGACTGCAGATGTATTTAATTTTGAAGAAACAGTTTATAGTCATCATATGTCTCCAGTCGCCACCAAGCACTGTTTGGTAGCAGGTTTGTACATGTATTCTTTTGTTTTTTAACATATTGAAAACTTTCTCCTTTTAATATCTAGTTAGTTTTGATATAGACATTTTAACCCAGATGATCACAATTCTTTTAAAAAAAAATAATAAGTATATGCTGCTATTTATATTCAGTTTAACAGATATTGTGCAGGTCAGGCACTGTGCTAGTGGCTAGAAATCACAGATTAAGGAAGCACAGTGTTGTTCCCTGAAGAGTTACCTTTTTTTTTTTTTTTTTTTTTTGGTGAGGAAGATTAGCCCTGAGCTAACATCTGTTGCCCGTCCTTCTCTTTTTGCTGAGTAAGATTGGCTCTGGGCTAACATCCGTGCCCATCTTCCTCTACTTTATACGGGACGCCACCACAGCATGGCTTGACACTGGGCTAACATCCGTGCCCATCTTCCTCTACTTTATACGGGACGCCACCACAGCATGGCTTGACAAGCAGTGTGTCGGTCTGCACCCGGGAAACAAACCTGTGAACCCCAGGCCGCCAAAGCGAAAGGCACAAACTTAACTGCTGTGGCACCAGGCCCGCCCCTAAAGAGTTACTTTTAAACCACCAAACTTTCAAACATTTTGCATGACAGAATTTGGCAACTTTTTCAACTGGACACAGTAAACCAAGGAAATGATTTCCTTTTCTCTAAGAGCGTGTGATTCAAATTAAACATCCATTTTTGTGAAAGCACCTGCAACAACAATTTTCGTGTATGAGGAAGAAAAAATGTTTTTCTGGCGTAAGGTATCAGGTCCCCGTGATTCTGTTATTTCTGTGGCACTGCATGAATCTCTTCAGCTCCAGATATCAGTCAGCTGCTTCATCTTTGAAGAAGAGTTGGGCACTAACTTGTCTTTGAAGTCCACTCAGTCTGTGTCCAGAGATCTGTGAATCTATTACTAGTGATTCAAAGTATATCATTATCGCGGAAAAACTAAGTTATTAAATAAAATGATTTGATGTGATAAAAGAGCATAAAATTATACACACACATTGTACCAATACAAATTTCCAGGTTTTGATATTGTACTGTAGTTACCTAACATTTAACCACTGGGACAGCCTGGGTAAAGGGTACACAAGGCCTCACTCTACTATCTTTGCACTTCCTGTGAATCTATAATTATTTCAAAATTAAATGTTAAAAAATAATGCAATAATAGAGTTCTCTTAGTACTTAAGTATAACTGCAATTGAAATAACTTTTCTAATCATAAACAATAAAAATGATTTGAAGTGTATTTTTAGCATACATTTTTATATTTCTACATGGATACAGTGAAAAAATGTCATGATTCAGAATGATAGTTTCTTGTTTCCTTTTGATGATGATTTATAATAAAATTATCTCAAACCATTTTTGTTTTTGTTTTTACAGTTGGTACTAGAGGGCCCAAAGTACAACTTTGTGACTTAAAGTCTGGATCCTGTTCCCACATTCTACAGGGTATTTTTTTATTTCAACAACAACTACTTTGAGTAAACCATTCAATAAAAAGAAACATTGCTAACAATGTATTCTTTGTAAGTGACATGACTGATGTAGTTTGTGCTAGTTGTTAAAAGTCAACAGGGAAATAAAGATCCTCTGTGCATTATTCTTATAAAACTGAACTATTAAGGAGACATTTATATGAATAATGGCTATAGGGGAAGCTCAAAGGATTTGAAAGGTCTAACTCAAAGCCTTGTGTTATTTCCACATTTTAAAAAATAAACTAGTTACGAAACTTACATCAGTACATTTGTTTCATGAACATTGTTTAATATTGTTCTGGCTGAGTAAACATTCTTAATATTTAAGTGCTTTTTTTCTCAGTAAAAATATTTTAGAAAAAGATATTGAAGGTATATTATTTGGTAAAGGTATATTAATTTAAATTATTTTTGCTACTTTTTTGTGAGTATTAGATCATCTCATTCTAAACAACGAAAAGATGAGAAGTAATTCAGAAATATAATTTTGATTAATCTCTGAGAAACACAATATATCAAGAAAACTTGGTGAGATGGATAGCATTTGTTTTACGTTATCATGAATTTCTATTAATATAAGCTAGGTAGATGAAAATATCTGATTTGAATAGTTCAGTTAAGTAACAGTGAATGAAAATGCCAAAATCACATCCTATGAACTTATAGGAAAAAAATTTTATACAAATGCTTTTTTGCAATCATGTATTAAAATATTTTTTCTAGTATAACTTTCTAAAAAGAAAACATTTTTATTCTTCAAAATATTTATCTTTTATGGTTTGTTGCGGTGGCTTTTTGTTGTAGAGATAAGTGAGCTTGAGCTATATCACTTATTGATGGATTGACCTACTAGGCTAACAGCTGTATTTAAAAAGGAAGACTCACTTGCTCTGACTGTTCTTTCCAAAGCAAAACCAGGCCTTTTATAAGAAAATACCATGTGTGAGATGCCCCATAGACTTCACATTAATATTTGAAGATATTGTAAATGTGAAAAAATGATGATCATATCGATTTCTTTTTAATATTTACTCTTCACTTTCTTCAGAATCAGACAAACTTAACTGCAGTATATCTTTCGATTTTTCAAATATTTTGTAAGACTTTTATACAGTTGTATTTGCAGGTCACAGACAAGAAATATTGGCAGTTTCCTGGTCGCCACGTTATGAATATATCTTGGCAACTGCAAGGTAAGATGCAAATTATTTGATTTTGAAGTTAATAATTAATGATCAGCATTTTTAAAAGACTATATTTATGAAAGATGCATATTTAGTTATTAATTAGGCCCTTAAAAATAAAATAATTGTTACAGATTTTAATTCATATCACCAAAAGAAATCTTTTCTTTATGTCATAATCCTAATCCTGACTATCCATCTTGAAGGTCCTCACCTTTTAAAAGAGAAAACGAGAGAATCTGTGTAGCAATGCAAATCTACTAGTACGTGCTATTGTAAAACAACTGTGTTTTATCATTTTTTCATACAAAAGTATAGTACTCTGTTAATTTAAAAATACTAGCATCTTAATTCATTTTCTTTAACCCAGAATTGTTTTGAATCTGATTTAACACATCCATCCGTTCGTTGATTCAATTTACTAATATTTAATAACTGTCTACCATGTGCCAAGCATTGTGCTAGGGACACAAGGGTAACCAAGGCATAGTCCCTTTATGAAGCTAACAGTCTAATGAGAGGAATAGTCAGAAAAATCAGCAATTACAGGACATCCTGAAAAATGCTTTAATGGAGGTACATCTCTGGTAGGTATAATATGGGAAAAGAGAGCAAGAGCACTTAACTCTGAGAGGATCAAGGGATTTGGAGAGTTTTGTTGGCTGAAGGGAAGAGCGTTGCATATTTAAATGCTGAGGAGAAAGTACCAATAGGAAGAAATTGGTGAAGATAAGAAATGGAGGGAATAATTGGTGCATCAGGACCTTCAGTAAACGGGAGTATCAAGGACCTTGAATAAACAAGTAGTATCAAGGGTCCAGATAGAAGGGGGACACTTGATTTGGCACATGAAGGGCATTGTGAGACTAAATGGAACGAGGAAAAGATAGGCGTGAATACAGTTAAATTTGTGGCTCGTGGAGTAGAACTTGATGTCATCTATTGAAAATAGTGGAATGGGGATGCAATTTTGAGAGAAAGTAGTAAAGATTTGGAGTTACAGTTTTAGTGAATGGGAGAGGGAGATGATTGGGGCATATAGAATTGCTGGTCAGTGTTGTGTGCTCAGTTGACGGTGTAGACCACAGCTGTACTAAGCTACAGAAATCAGAACATTAAATGACGCAGACTTAACAATTGTCTGAAAATTGTTGAAATCGTGGGTATAAGGAAGGAAATAAAATCACAAAAAGGCTTGGAGAGATCAAGGACCCAATGAGATAGTAATATGAGTGTCAGAGTAAGAAAATTAAAAACCTGAAGAACTAGGAAGTAGCAGTCGAAGATTTTGATATAGACATTTTAATAAACTTTTTGCAGAGGAATTATTACAAAAGCTATTCATATTAGTTTTATAAAAATACATGTCTGGATTTTTATAAAGCTGCCAGCCCTCCCTCTCTCAGTTTAGTCCCCAAAGAAGCTTCTGTTAATTGTTTGCAGAATGTGACACTGAAATTTATGATTTCTGAATAGAACAAGGTCTAGAATGTAGCCTTAAGAAGAGTGGCTAAAGAGGTGTGATGGTGAGGAGTTAGGTGCTGGTTGTGGGTCCCTGCTAGAGTGGGTTTACATTGTTTGTGCCTAACTTGATTTTTCCTCAAATCAGAGGGAAGCTGAGAGGCTTTTAATTCTCAGAGTATCTCAGGAATTTGAATCAGTACCACAATGGACCTAGTAATTAATCTTAGGAATCAGATATGTCCAAATATAATCTATTTTAGAACAGACTTAAATCCTCAGACTTATCCCATTGCAGACGTTTTCCCCAGGTGGAAAGAAAGAAAACCAACATGAGAATGGGTATTGCTAGCTTTTTGCTGACTATTCTAGAAGTTGGCTAGGTTTGGTGATCTGTGAAAAGACTCAAGGTTATAGGAAGAGGTAAACTCTTCCTGTATACATGTAAACTTTTATGTATATATAAAAAGATTGATAAATGAGAAATAGGCTTATAAAATACAATGTAATGCTCCTTCTAATTAAAATGGCCTGGATAAACCCAATGGGTTAGAATATTGTTGGGGTCTTTGTGAGGACATGATAGCATCAGTAGATTTTTGTTTTCTTTAGGAATAGATTAGAAGCTGAAATTGATGTGTGATCATGATTTTCCTTTCTTCTTTTCACTTACTTGAAATAAAATGAAAGTGTCTAATTTCTAGGATACATTAAATTTAGTTCTCATAAATCTGGCAAAGATTGATTTGAGTACAGGAAACCAAATAAAAATATATTGTCCTTATTATTCACCCTGTTCTCAATTTTTTTCATATAAAAAGAAAAAAACACCAAATTCCTGCCAAATAGATTCTTAAACAAAATGAAATTAGTTAACTGCTTGATTGTCCAGATGATATTTGAATAACAAACAATAGAAAGGATGTAGTAATAAACTTGCTAAGGAACAAGCTCCAAGCCTATCTAGTCCTTGGGGAGAAAGATGCTCATGGCATTAAAAACAACATAAAAAGCAGCAGAATTCTGTCCTTGTGATCTAAAAAAAGGTTTCTGGGGAGGGGGGGAGTATTTTTTCACTTCTTTGTGCTGCTATTGAACATTTGCTGAAAAGGCAAAAGTACAACAGCCCAAGTGTACAAATATATTTGCGCTAGTATGCTGAGACCTCTGTATGCCATAATACTGGAAAGGTCAGTGAAAAGTACAGTCACTATCCCAGCTATATATGTCAATGTAACATTTATTTCTTCTCAGTGCTGACAGTAGAGTAAAATTATGGGATGTGAGGAAAGCATCAGGATGTTTGATTACTCTTGATCAGCATAATGGAAAAAAGTCACAAGCTGCTGAATCAGGTAATGAAGAATGCATTAATATAGAAATATAACAATGATAGTATTTTTATATTGAAAATTTTGAATTGAAAGCAAATAAACATATAAGTTGCAATTTTTGCAATTTTTATGATTTAATAAAAAAGCATTCACGAGGGCCGGCCTGGTGGCATAGCGGTTAAGTTTGTGCGCTCTGCTTCGTTGTCCCGGGGTTCACAGGTTCCCATCTGGGTGTGGCCGGACGCACCACTTGTCAAGCCATGTTGTGGCGGCGTCCCATATAAAGTAGAGGAAGATGGGCATGGATGTTGGCCCAGGGCCAGTCTTCCTCAGCAAAAAGAGGAGGACTGGCATGGGTTGTTAGCTCAGGGCTAATCTTCCTCACAAAGGAAAGAAAAAAGCATTCACAATAAATTAGTTTCTAAATTTACATAAACCAAATTATGGTCGTCTTTCTTCAAGATGCAGGTAAGTGTGGCATTTCATCTGCCCCTGAATTTTCAAATGTAGAAACTTTTTTGGATTAACCTGGATTAATCCAGGTAATTTTTTGGATTACTTTTTTTTCCCTCCAGTGAGGCCTACTAATACAAATTCAGTGCCACTTAGGAAGTTACAGTAAATTAAAGGAATAGTAACATTTTGTGGCCATTGTGTCAAAATAAAATTTGCAAGCTGTGTTAAATGTAAGTTAGCTGCAATCTAGGTGACAAAGTACCTTAATTGCATTTTTACAATAGAATTTAATTTCTGTGTAGGTTAAAATTCTGATTCAAAATTAATTCTGGACCAGAAATATGTTAGGATGAACTATATGAAACCTTTGATTGTTTTAATAATCTTTTTAATTAAATCAGTCGGCTTTTGAAAATTATGCTTTCTCAAACTTGTTCATTTTGAAAGTAATATAAATTTTGGTTGAGACTGGAACAGTTATTCTTTCCCTGTCAAAGGTTTTTTTAAGAAATACTAGTATTATTGGTTGTTAATAGTCTGTGGAATGCTTTTTAAATTAAAAATGGAAATAGTATATAAGAAGTTTGAAACATGTTTAATTTAAAATTTTAGTGTTAGGCTATGCATTTAATTTAGTTTGATAGCACAGCTTACTCTCCAAAGAAAAACTGTATTTGGCAGGATTTTTTTCCTTTGGTTTTCCTTTATTTTTATGGTTCTAATTTATATAGCTTATCATATTCAAATAATCCAAAGGGATGATTAATTTTAAATATAATCAACATATATTTTAAGTAATTCAGATAATTTTCCTTTAATCTGTTTAAATAACTATATCATCAAGCATTAAATGTGTGTTGAATACAAGAAGAGATAAACTGAATTGTATTTTTCATTGCAGCAAATACTGCTCATAATGGGAAAGTTAATGGCTTATGTTTTACAAGTGATGGGCTTCACCTCCTCACTGTTGGTACAGATGATCGAATGAGGCTCTGGAATAGTTCCAATGGAGAAAACACACTAGTAAGAGATTTTAGATCTCCAACTTTTTGGATATATATTAAAGAAATGGATCTGTGACATATACTTGATGTTTTTCTGTAGATTTAACTCTGTTTCTTGCCTCTGAATCACGGCTTTCTTTTTATAATATTTTTCCGTTATGTGAACTAGTAGTTCTCAACTCAGGACAACCCACCCCACCTCACCCCCACCACATTCTCCCTACTTAGTGGAGAATCACTGCCCTCCTGAGCCACTGTACATAACGAGTGTGTACCATATCTCTCAGGTATGTTGGAGAAGAGTAAAAGATTGAGAACAAGATGTAAATTAAAGTTATAAATAGTCAAATTTTATACTATGTATGACTTGTAAACAAAATCCAGAATGAATGTTGTAGTACCAGAACATAAAGTACTGGAATAAATGTGTTTTAAAGGTGCTAGATTCTTAGTGGTAATTAATTTCTAGTACTTTTAAAAAATTTATGTTATGGTCCTTAGCAGGTGTACCTATGGTTTAATAACTTTCAGAATAAGCTACCAAAAGTTTGTAATTTGGTGATAATAATAATAGCTAATATTTTTTTGAGTTTATGTGCCAGATACTGTGTTAATAAAAATTAATATTTAATCTATGTGCTGGAGCATATATGGTCTTCTTGAATCATCATATCAACATTATGAAGGTAGTTATTGTTATAATACTCATTTTACACATGAGGAAAATGAGACATAAAATGGTTAGGTAACTTGCCTGAGTTTATACAGCTAGAAAGCAGCAAAATTTAACTCTAGATTCCACTCTTATCATAATGCTGATTGTACCCAGACTCCTTAAAGCATTTATTTAATACCTTAAGGTAGGTATTAATATTAATCATATTCCTTTGTTTAATCATTCTTTCTAGCTAATTCTCTTTCAAATACTCTAGATATTACTTTAATTATTAAATACTAATTTTACTATAAGGTCAAAATTGTTTATACTCAGTTACTTGAGAGTTTGCTAATCCTTCATATTCTTTTTGAAATTCTTCTCCATCATGTCTCAGGCTAGAAACTCAGGCATTGTAAATTTTAATTTAGAATCTTCCATTCATTATATCGTACTATGTCCCTAATCAGGTCACACCTTCCTTTTTTCATTTTATTCATTTATTTAATAAATATTTATTGTGCACTTCCTGTTTGCCAGGCAGTGTTATACAGCAGTACTATCCTCATGGAGCTTACCTTCTAGGGAGAGTAAGAAAGACATCCATCAATCAATCAGTAGATGGATGGATAGATGAATAGATGGATGGATAAAATATATGTTGGATGCAGTAAGTGCTGTGAAGAAAAGCAAAGCAAGGAAAGGAGCATAGAAAATACTGGGAAGTTGGAGTTGCTGTTTGACATAGGGCAGTCAGGGTAGGTCTCACTCAGAATATGACATTGGGCCTGAAGGAAATGAAGGAGTGAGCCATCAGACATCTGACAGGGAGTGCAATCCAGGCAGAGGAAGGAAGAAAGTACAAAGACCCTGAGGCAGGAGCATGGTTGAGATATCCAAGGAACATCTAAGAGGCTCTTGTGTTGGAATAGAGTAGGCAAGAGGGAGAATAAAAGGAGAAGGAACAGGTCTTAGGCTTTGAGGCTTTGTAGGCTTTATCAGGGCTTAGGCTTTTTCTGTGGCTGAGATGGAAAGCCACTTAAGGCTTTTAAGTGGAGAAGTGGCAGGGTCACTTTGGAAAAATAGATTGGCATGAGCGTCAAAAGTGAATGTGACAAACATAAATGATACTGAGTGTATATACATAAATTGTTAATGTGATTTTATTCCATTTTTCTCTCCTTCTTGAAGGTGATACTCATTCCCTATGGATTTTTGCTAGTAAGTCCATATCTGGAATAGTGTGTTTAGAATGGATAATACATTTTAAAATGGACTTGATCAAAGTAAAAGTCATTCATGCAAAGATGACTAGAGTAGCCAAGAAACTCACCTACAAAGGGCACATGCAGGAATTTGGAACATTGATCTCAGAAAAAGTAACTCTCAGGGGAAACCCACTGTCTTCAAATATTCAAAGGGCCATCAGACAGAATGGGAAACAAATTTCAGTCCTGCCATTTAGTAGTTTGGGTACATTAGGTAATTTATTTAAGGTCACATGAAAAACTATGGTCAGAGTTTCAGTGTCTTCATCTTATAAATCAGGATTATTATGTACCTAAACAGTAATTGTAAGAGTAAAATGAAAGTATGTAAAGGGTAGTACTATACCTGCTAAATACTAGGCATACCATAAATAACTACTTTCGTTGTATGGTGTTGCCTTATTAGTAGTACCCTTATTAGTTTAAAAAGATGTATGAGTACACACTTCCAATATATGTATAATTATTTATAATATATATATTTTATTAAAGGTTAATTTCTTATTTTTTAGATAAAAATTAAATAGAAATAGAAATTCTTATATTTTCTTCTCACACCTTAATGGATCATCTTGCAGACTCCTTGAGGTATGCAAACTGCACTCTAGAGACCATTGTCTTAGAGTACAGAACAAGTACCTGCAGGGAAAATTCAGAGGCAGCTTTTGATACAACAAAAGAAAAAAAAAACTTCAAAGTAGCTGTTCTAGTGTTAACTGTTTTAGTTACTGGCATTATCATTCACCCATTCATCAAGGTCTAGAAACTGAGAGTTTATCTTTTATTCTTCCCTGTCCCTTATCCCAGCTATTAAATTCAATTACAAGTCCTTTTAATTCCTTCTTAATATTTTTCATATCTGTCTTCCCTTCCGGCCTCACTCTGGGCCCTTGTGATCTCTGTTTAATTTCTCTAACATCCTTCTAACTTTTCCCAAACTCATCTCCCAGTGGAAGTCTTTTAGTGTTTCCTCAGTACTTTCAGTTTATTAAAACTGAATGCTTTTGCCTTTTGTGCCCAAGTTCTTCATAAGCTGTACCTTCTAACTCACCCGCTTTAGTTCTTGCTATTTTCCCATTTTTTCCCTGTCTTTAGCCATAATGAACTACTGAGAGGTCTTTAAATATACCATGCTCTCTTGCCCTTCCATTCTGCTGCATGGACTGCTGCCTTTGCTTTATTTATTTATTTATTTATTTTGTGAAGAATATCAGCCCTGAGCTAACATCCATGCCAATCCTCCTCTTTTTGCTGAGGAAAGACTGGCCCTGGGCTAACATCTGTGCCCATCTTCCTCCACCTTGTATGGGATGCCGCCACAGCATGGCCCGACAAGTGGTGCATCAGTGCGCATCCGGGATCCGAACCCAGGCCGCCAGCAGCGGAGCGCGTGCACTTAACTGCTACGCCACCAGGCCGGCCCCTGACTTTGCTTTAGAATACTGTTCTTCCTGTCCTAGCTGCTGCTCAGTTTTCAAGATTCATCTCAGGCACAGCCTCTTTTTAACTCCTCTAGCTTAGATGCTTCCAGAGTACCCAGTGCTCGCTTGTACTAAAATGTACTGTGATCGTCACTTCACTTCATCAAATGAAAGAAAAATAATATACAACATGGCACAGTGCTTTTTGATGAGTGTAGTCTAGATTCAGTTTCTGATTCTATCATTTATTAGCCAAGAGACCTTGATCGAAATACTTAACCTTTCTAAGTGTTTTCTTTTTTGTATAATAATACTGCTAATAATAGTATAAGACAAATATTATACTATTTGTATAATAAAGTTTGTATTTTATTATACAAATAATATTTGTATAATAAAACAATCTCATAGTATTATTTTCAGTATTACATGAAATAGTGCATGTAAAACATTTAGCACATTGTCTGATACTTACAACAGATGTTGACATTCAGTAAATGTTACCTGTCATTAATTATTATGCTGATAGTTGTTTGACAATAAAATGAGCTGCCTTGTGATGGAATCTCTGCATCACTGTAGGTATTCAGTTAGTGACTAGATGTATATATTTCCTGGGACAATAAAAGGGATTCATAAGATAGGGAATTGGATTTTTTTTTTTT